TAGGTCGGGGGGATAGTGGACGGCTCGAACCGAGCACAGGGTGTGGGGGGCAAACATGTGCGTGTTTAATTGTTTGTCTCGAACCGTCGAGTGTTTCGAAAGCAAACAAGCGAGCACCCCTGAAGGGCAAAATATTCTACCAGAGGTATTTTCTGTGACCAATCGTGTTTGCCAGGCCCGCAGTAATGCTTGCCAGGTACCATCTATCTGTTTGTTTGTTCTGTTTGTTTTTTTTCGGGGGGAAGCAGCTGCTCTGTGGGCTGGGGCAAGCAAGGGATATATGGGATACATCCAACGCATGGCGTGTATGAAACATCATCTATGAGTTGCAAGATGGCGTCCCTTTCTATGGTGGTGTCGGTTGTTCCACTTGCAATCACCCCACCCGTCTTCTTCTATATTTCTCCCGGTTGATTTTCCCCCCACACGACACGGCCCATCGGAGCTGTTCTCGCTTTGGCTTGATCTCATGTCTGCACCCCCTCTCCTGATTCCCGCCACCTCCAGATCCTCCGGCAAATGGGCGAGTTTGACCGCGCCTCTGCCATCGGGGGTCAGGCCTTGGCGCTGGTTCAGACGGGACCCACGGGGCCACACAGCGCCGAGTCCGCTGTGTGCGTGGCCAGCCTGGCGGGGCTTGCAGCGCAGCAGGGCAAGCCCACGCTCTCGGAGGAGTTGTACAGGTATGTGTTTTGTGTGTGTTTTTTCTTGTTAGCATCGACCGCGCTCACCGGCTGACCAATGAAAACACGCCAGCCTAAGTGCGGTTGAACACACGAAACAACTTCTCAAAGGCCATGTGTGTAAGTGTACTTCCCTCGAGAGTCAGAGGGAGAGGGGCAGAGAGATAATCCACACCCACACCCACACGTATACCGTGTCCATGCATGTGATCGCGAGACCCCGGCTGATGACCGCACGTCAGAGATGTACCCCGGAAGGTGCGTGCAATAGACTGGTGCCAGAACCGATGGGGTAGCGACACACGTTAAGGTCTTGGGTGGGGACGGGGTCACGAGTCCCCACATGCGAACACACAGAGATCTCACGTCAAACTCTATCCAGTTGTTCATACCCCCTCTCGTCTGTTTTCCGCTGCTGTGGTTCCACCCGAGAGAAAATGGCTCGGTGCATCACACCCTACTATCCATTTGTTCATGCCCCCCCCAAGTCTATTGTCCGCTGCTGTGTGTTTCCTTCTATCCATCCACCCGAAAGACGATCGCTTGGTGTCGCCCTCCGAGTGTTCGGGTCGAGGCACCCCGCCGTGGCCGCCGAGACTAACGTGCTCGCGGTCTTTCTCGTGGAGCACGGCCGAAATAGGGAGGCCGAGGCCTGCTACCGCAACAGCATGGAGATCTGGGAGAGGACCCTGGGCCCCTACTCGCCCGAGCTGGCGTCAGGGCTGAACAACCTCGCGATCCTGCTCTTCGTGGAAGACCGCCCCGGGTGCGTTATACGTTCCTACATGTAGAAAATGTTTTGGAACATTTCCATAACCGGTCTTCACGTTGCAAGCAGTGTCTCCGCGACTGTTTGTTCTTGTGTGGGACAAGACGATGGCATCACACCTCCCGCGGCTGGTGGAACCACCCCCTCCCGATTAGGAAGCACCCCGCTAAGGGTTATAGGTTGGAACCCCCGCCTTGCAGGGAAGGGAGAGGGGGGTTGACATGGATGTGTGGTTGTCCATGGAGGGAGGACGGTCTTGTGTACGCTTGTTAGGTTTTGATGCTGTGGTGGATATGCTGTGTTCCTGCAGTTGGTCGGGTTCGATGTGGAATCCGGAATGGAGGACGTGTGTATGGTGGATGTTGTTTTTCGAGGCCGGTGTTTTGTGCGGTATGGGGTGCAGCGGTGCGCTCTCGAAACCAAGGACTCTGATGATGATGAACGTTGCACGCTCCCGTGTACCGGTCGTGTGTGTTTTTTGCGCAAATACTCGTTCTGCCAATGTAGTTTCTCGAGCTCGCTTGGTATGTGGCGTTGTTCTCGCTTTTGCAGAAACAACCGCAAGCAGCACACTCAGTCTACCTTCCCATCACATCAACGATGACGGCAACAAGAGCAACAACAACAACAACAATGATAACCACGACTTTTCCCGTAACCCCCCCCACCACCACTACGCCAAAACGTGACGACAGAGAGGCCGCGGCGACGTTTCAAAGGAGCTTGGACATTCGGCAGAGAGTGCTGCCGCCGAACAGCCTTGAGACCGCGCAGGGGTTGAACAACCTCGCCTTGCTTTACACGAGCCAGGGGCAGGTGTGTCCGTGTGTGTGTGTGTTGAATTTGCGCCGGCTGCGCTGGCCAATGAAATGACACCAGTCGTATCGCGGAATAATTGTCGCGAACACTGTTGCTGTTGTTTAGTTGTTATTGTTGGGTGTACCTTGTTGTTATTGTTGTAGGGTGTACATATCAAGAGGGTGGTGTTGCGGAGGTGAAAATAAAAGTTGATGTGACACACTATTTTTTTGTTGGACTGTTCTTCTCGCCCGAGTTGTAACGATGACCGAACGATCGTTCTTTTTTTATTTTGTTCTGTTCTGTTCTGGCAGGACTCAACGGCGGCGGAGCGGCTTCACCGCGAGGCATTGGCCATCCGGGAAGCCCGGCTAGGCCGAAACCATCCTGAAGTGGCGCAAACCTGGTGAGAATAGATAAACAAGGGAGGGAAGGAATGGGGTCCAAGAGCGGCGCACACTTGTCCACCGCACATGTTGATGCCATTTGTCCGTTGAATGCTCGCGCCCACCGAAAGAACAAAAGAAACAGTGGTGCTGCTGTGTGCGACTCCACGATGATTGAGTTTGTTGTCTGACGAAGGTGAAGGTGAAGAGCACTTACATATGTCGAGTCAGTGGTACAAGGGTCACCAAATCCCCCCGAACAAGCTGACCCCCGCCCCCGCCCCCGCCCCCGCCCCGACGGAAAAAATATAAAAACAGCCATAACCTGGCGCTGTTGCTGCTCAAGACCGGGCCGACCACAACCCACAGTCCCGTGGGCGGCGGCAAGCCGTCGTCGAAGACCTCGGCCGACGACAAGTGGCAGTGGGAGAAGGTGAAAGCGTCCAAGGCTCCGCCATCCTCGGAGACCGGGTTGTCTTCTTCGTTGTTCAAGGGGTTGCGTTTGGGTGGAGGGGGCGGGAACGGGGCACAGCAGGCCAACGGGACCGGGCCGGGGGGGGCGGGGAGTGGGGGGGAGTCGTACCGGTGGCGGCACACGGAGGCCATCAAGTTGCTGGAGCGCGCCCTGGCCGTGCACCGCGAGGTGAGTTTGGCGAACGAGGCAACGGGCGGGGTTTGTGTTCGGGGTTGGGGGTGTGGTTGTGTGGTGGGTGCGTTGTATGGTATGTTTCGGTGTGCTTTGGGGAGTTAGTTGATTGGCTTGTCTACGAACCCCGAAGGTGTCCGCAGGATGAGTCGCGCGCCTGAATTTCTCGATGAGAGATCCGACTGCTGTGGTGGAAGGGTTTGCGGTCGGTTGCCCATCGATCGGGCTCGCTCGTGTGTGTGGTATTATAGGTACGTGTGGCCGGAGTACCGTTCGGGTTTGCGTTGGCTGGGAGTTCTGTCCTGTCCTGTCCTGTCCTGTTGACAGGCATCGCGCCGCTCCGCATCAGGCTGCTGCTGCTGCACCTGTTCTCCGTTTTGTACGCTCACCCCGCCCCCCAATCTCCACCACGATGCCCCCACCCCCCCCCTCCCCCACCCCTCAGACTTTGGGCGACGATCACCCTGTGACGGAAGAGTCCCTCCAGGCGCTCGCAGCCGCGGGAGGCAGCTCTACCCCGGTTACCCCATCCCCCTCCTCGAGGCCCTCCTCCATCTCTCGAGAGGTCGGTCTCGCGGTCGCTGCGGCGGCGGCGGGGGCTGGTACTGCAGCGGCGGTCTCTACGCCGAGGTCGGGGCCGGCGGGGGGGGGGCAGCCGTCTCCCGCTGCTACGACGGGGTCGCGGCCTACGTCGGTGGACCCGCCGCCGCCCAGCCTGGAGTGCCTCAATAGCTCCGACCACGCGCGAGAGACCGCTCGGGAGCAGCAGGTATGTGTGTATTTACGTGTGTTGACGGAAGGATAGACAGAGGAGGCATATGGGGAAGGGTCAGATTTTTTTGCTTTTGTACTAGTCTCTGCATATCTATCCTGTTTTTTTTTGTTTTTTTTTGTCGTGGAGCAAGCGGCTCCTCGCCCGCGCGTTCCCGTCGCGTTTAATGTAGTTTTCTTCTGTTGCAGGGATGAAAGGCGAACTTTACCCGCACGCGACGCGACACACACCGGTCCCGCCCTCGTTATGGTTATCTTTGTGATGTTGTTGACGGTTTCAACCACCTTCCCTCACCTTTACTTCCCCTTGTTCCAGCGGCAGCAGCAGCGAGAACACGAGCAGCGTGTCAAGTGGGAGCAGGACCAGGCGCAGAAGCTGGCCCGTGATCACGAGCTCAACAAGCAGAGGCTGCGGGAGGTGAATTGATTGATATGTTGTTGTTGTTGGTGTTGGTGTCGTGGTTGTCGGTCTGTGACATCTTAGGCGGATACATCCCGACCTTTAGCAAGCATGCTTTATACAATTTGCTTCCAAGACAATAGACCGGTGCGCCACGCTGATATCCCGAGAAGGTGACAATTGTTCGATCAAGGGTATGATGGATAGAAGAGGGGGAGGCAGCATCGAGTCGAGTCGTTTGTTCCACCAATAAAAACAGCGGAGAGTTGGAAATAGTCGATGCCAGTCACAAGTATTGGCACTGCTGAACGGTGCCAGAGGAACCTTGAAGGCTGGTACTAAAATAACCTCCGGTTGGTCGTCTGCTTGGCATGCATCAGGAGAAGCGACTCAAGCAGGAACGGGAGCTGGTTCGGCAGCAGAATCTCGAGAAGCAGGTGTGATTTTTTGTTCTTCTTCTTCTGGCCTCGACGTACGCACGCTATTATAGCGTTAATCGCTGCCTCCCGTAAGAAATCAATGTTCACAACGACAACAAGGCCGTCCTTTGCCCACAACAAACCGAACCAGACGCCGCCGTAATCATCACCCCCCGCCAGGCGCTGGCGAGAGAGGAGGCGGAGCTCAAGGCCAAGGCCGACAAGCTTCTCGAAGATAAGGGGCAAGCCCTGTTTGTCCAGCAGCAGCAACGGCAGCTGCAGAACGAGCAGCGGGTGCGTAGCAGTGAGTGTCGTCGTCGTCTTTTTTTTTTTTGCTTGTGGGAGCGCTGTTCACTCCGCCAGCGCTCCGCCCTCTTGCCAGTGTGTGTGGTAAATCAATGGTACATGACAATGAGTTCGGCTTTTCGGTTCACGCCCTTGCGTCTGCTTCTGCCCGTCGGAAATGTGGAGCACACGTACCTGTTGAGTGAAGGACTGGAGCTGTAGCTCAGCCTCGTGTCATACGCACCGATTTTACCACAAACACTATAGTAGAAGCTTACAACCACGCTCCAGCCCCGTGTCGTTCGAAACGGTTTATCCAGACCCCGGGCAATAGTATAGGTTCCCCGTACGTACAAACCTCATGACGGCTTTTCTTTTTCGTTTTCGTAATTCCAGAGGAACAGTCTATAGGTAGTGCCATGCACGTTTTTCAGCCAGGTTCTAAGCCGTTTCGCGTGACGGGAAGACCGATGAGTCGTATTTAACGGGTGCTGCTGGTGACTGCAGACGAATTAACGTCTCTTCCGTGTGTTGTTCAAGGAGGTGAGCACGGCCGAAGAATGGACGTTGCCCATATCGACCCCCCCCCCCCCTTCCATGTTTGTCGTGCTGTTTAGGCGTTGTATTTTTGCTTGACTTATTGTGTTTTCGGTCATCGTGGTGTGTCTCGCAGGAGAGGCAGCGGATAGGGTCGGTTGAGAGCGGTTCCGGCGACCAACTCGTCCCCGGCGGCATCCGCGGCGCATCGGCATCGGTTTCGTCAGCAGCGTCGTTAGAACGGTTTTACAGCGCGGACGGCGCGGGCATTGACGCTGCGGCTGTGGCCGCCGCCTCCAGCTCACGAGCAGCCGTCGCAGACACCGCCGCCCCTCTCTTGAGAGCGCGGAGCGCGCAAGGGTTGGGGGCGGCGTCGGCGGGTCGTCGGGATGAAGACGATGCCGTAACGCGCAGCTTCAGTTATCAGGCTGGCGCCGATGGCGCCCCAGAAGATGGGGGTGCAGACTCCCCTGAGGGCTGTCGGCTGGCGTAAGCGGGATGGTTTGATCACATGTAACATTCGGCAGCAGCAGCAGCAGCAGCGGCGGCGGCGGCAGCAGGAGCCCCCGTGTGTGTATGCATGATTGCCACGACGACTTTTTTTTTTTGTATTGTTGTTGTGCGATGCTGCCGCCGTGAGCGCTGGCTGGCACTTCTTGCTTGAATAGTTGATGATCTTGCTTGTTTTTTTTTAGTCTGTTTTCTGTGCTTTTCTCTTGTGTTGTGTGCGTCGTTGTGTGTTGGTGTGTTCAGAAGGTGATTACGGTAGAACGCGGCGGGAATTGTTGGTGGGGGGGGTGTTGATGTCCAAAGCCATGGGTAGCACGGGCCGTGGGGGTCAGCCTGTCGGTGGTGTAGTGCGATCGACTCACCAGAGATGCACGGAACCCACGAAACCATGTTTTGTTGAGGATTCGGTTTTCTGTGTGTGCCAGTGTTTTGTTCTTTTCTTTCTTTCTTTCTGCGGGCGCGCGGAGGTCGTCATGTGGGCGATGTCTGCAGGCAGCGTTCGTTGGTTGGGTGTCTCATTCTGCACGTGACAACTCTAATAATACATACAGAGGCGCGGGGTGGGGGGCGGAAAGAACAGCGATTAATGTGGCCGTGTTGGTTGTTGTTGTTGTTGTTGTTTGGCTTTTTGTCCCTGTCTCGTAACTGGCTCTGGTGTCTCCGCTACCGTCGTCACTGCCGGGTGCTGACAAGGAATTTTGAGCCTTTTCATTGGATGGGGATTTTCACAACGACAAAAACAACGACGACGGCAGCAATGAATCATCTTACGTGCTGTCCGAGGTTGTTTTACGCGTGCGCGGAAGGATCAAAATGGTATGTAACGCCTCACCCTGACGGCAGAAATAACGAAATTACCGCCTCCTGCCGTCCTGACGCGACGGGTCGGGTGTCGGGTGTCGTTTCGGCCGATATGAGGCACCAGTATACCCTTCCCTTGTATGTTTAGCTTGGGGACCGCGGTCACCCCGTATAGGAGGGCGACCCATCCCCTTATCGTCCGTTCACATCAATTTGGTCGCTGTTAACTCGACCTTGTTTTGCTTTTAAGAGGAGCAGCAGCAGCAGCAGCAGCAGCCTTCTGGGTGAACGCGGGCTGTGCCGTTGAACGGGGGAACATGCACACTGCCGCGGGGGCCACGAGGGTTCGGTGTTGTGTAGCAAGGGGGCGGGCTTTTGGGCACTGGGGGTTGTGGGCGAGCGGAGCGGGAGAAGCTGCTTGATGAAATCTGGGGGGTGACTCGACGTGTAGAACTGAACTATTCTCTGTGCCCATGTGTTTTCACCCCTTCTTCCGGATGCATGCGGGCATTACAGGGTTAAATGACGTTTTTCTTTCTCTTTTTTTTTCTGCTGTTTGAAGCCCTTCCTTGTGCTATTTTGTTTTCTTTAGTGCACAGTTCAGAAGCACCTGTTCTTTGACCGGCCATTTTTGTTTTTTGCCTCTTTCTTTCTCTCATCTTCTCGGGTGTATTTGTTTGGTGCAGTTGGTGTGCGTTTTTACTTGTCTTGTGCCTCGAGCACGCTCGTGTGCTTCCTCCGAAGCGGAGTCAGCAGTAGAAGAAAAGTATGTCCCCCCCGCCACGGGGCGCTGTAACTGTAAGCTAACGAGAAAGCCCTGTGTTTTACGCGTACCGTCCGACGGCCGACCGAGACGGTTCAAGAATTGGACGGAAGGGGCGGTTGGTTGGTGTTGTTTGCCGTAGCACCAAGTCCATCCCACGGCACCACCTGGGTACCCTGCAAGTACCCGGGGTAGAAAATGGCGATGGTGACGGTGTAACGGGGTGATCGGTCACTGTACTGGGCAGGATCTACGGCCCAATGTAGTCACCGACAAACCACCGTGATGATGACCCCAGTCAACGGCATACATACCTCACCCCTTCACACGGACATGATCGATCTTTTCTACCACCCCGTAGGGTACGCCGTACGAAACAGGCAGGGCCGATGCTGGACTTGCTGTCATGGCAAACCCACTACCAACAACCAACAGTGCTTCTCTGCCAAGGCGAGTGAGTCCAGGCACAGCAATCAATAATCTCTCATGGGTGTGATTCACAAGCAAGGTTATTCATCCCGCTGTCGGATTCGACGTACGCAATCCTTGAGCTCGTGGAAGCTTCAAGTTTGCACAATGCTGTAGGAGCTTCGCGCGCCTTGGAAGCCCTCCGTCGTGCTTGTGGCATTTCGGTCGGCCTCCGAAAGGCGGGTGTTTTTTCGCGGCCGTACCTGCCCTGCCCCCAGCTGGCCCAGCCCCCACCCCGATGGATTCATTCGTACTTGTGAAGACCGCTGCACAGAATATTTCATTCCAAAAAACATTGGTCGAGGCAGGTTCACCATGATGCGGCGATGGGCGAAACAAGTAGATCACGCCGTACGGCTGTGCTCTCTCTGGCCGTCACGCTTTCTTCACTCCACGGTATGCGTGTGTGCCTCTTCCTCTTATTTCAAAGGGCTACGCAGCAGTTTGGCCGGGTTCCCTGCGGTGCGGCACATTTTGAACGAGCGCAGAAGAGTTGGTACAAAAGTGAGTGAGGGGATGGAACTTCCTGAGGCCACAGCAGTAGCACCCAAATTCAAGTATCACGATTCAAAATGCGCACAGGGTGTGAGCTAGTCTTGCCCAGTTTTGAACAAATGACTTTTGGTGGGCGTTTTAGGGTTCAACACGTTTGTTTGAAGTTTTTCAGAAAGACAACGGTCGTCATTCCTGGCCCAACTCGGATGAGTCCGCTGAGATCTCCAAAATATGTCGATTCGAAAATCCCCGAAAATCAAACAATTGCTTTCTTTCAAAGACGTGACGGAACCGCGGTTTTCTGGTAGAAAGTACCATCATAAATTTGAGCTGCGTAAGAACAAATCATCCACCCTGAAACCAACCGAGAGCCTCAGAAATATATGTTGCAACCAGCGGGTAAGCCTGTAGTTTAACGTTGGTTTTACAGCTACTGGCATCATGCCGTCGGTAGTGTGCAGCAACTTCATTGTATCGTCTTTCGCCCGCGAGTGAGTTGTTGTGCATATGTGTTGGCAGCAGACAATCGATTCCTGTTCGCCGGCCATGTTTCCCTATGCATGCCCCCCCCACGCGGTCCATACCACGTTGAGGTAGGGTGATATACCATGTTGAGCACAAATGGTTTCGTCCACTTTCTTCTCAGAATAGGTTTTCACTCACGATTCCACTCCACGTCGAATATCACTCCTCTTCGTGCAAAGAGTATTGCCACAACAAATTTCACTGTATTTGTGCGATCCACCTGTTACATTCTACTTCGCCGATGCTTGAGGGCTCCGAATTTTACTGCATTGGCGCTTGATCAGTCATCGCCCTTGGTATAGCAAAGCTTGTACTGACCGTTTCACTCTACGGCAAATATTTTGAAAACGTTTTCACTCGAATTGACCTGGTCACTCTCCATGCCATTGCGCGACGTCAGGTGCAACGATACGACTCGATTGGAATGAAGAGCGCGTGGGGTAGGGGGCATCGGTGTTGCCATGAACTTCGTGCGTTGCGAAATGGTACTATCGCGGGGAGGCCGGGGCATGGGCTGGGTTTTGTCGAACCCGGGACTGTCAACGGGTGTAGGACGACCGATGGAGTGGATTGTATTTTGCTTGAGGTGGAGAGGAAGGAATAGTGTAGCCAGATGCTCGGATGGAAGCAAGACTTGACTGTGGGGGGGGAAGGAGGAGAAATGCCTCGGGGGTTACAATCACAGAGCGTGACTCGGACGAAAGTAAGCAAAAGACGCCGAACACCCCTAGCATGATGCATGGCACCCTTCATGAGACTCGCCGAATATCTTACGGCGCTTTGCGCTTGGTGATGTGCTAGCCTGGTCGAGCGCAAACCTGGCGTGGTCCGTCCCGGCTTTGCAGGGATGCAAAGTCAATGGTCTCACGACTACGGCATGCACGGCCATGAGTACCTTCCCCAGACAAACCGTTAGTTCTCGGGGCACCTGTCGTGGTTGACCGTCCCAGCAAACTACAGCAGTATCATCCTTCGTACAAAACAAAAGGGTAGAGACACCGAGGTCGAATGACATAGCCTAGACTCCATATAGAAGCAGCAGTGACACGGGGTGTTGGTCATTCGGGCCGGCGAATCGATGAGTAACAAATTAATACCCAGGATCCTGCAGGAGTGTTAGATTCCCAGCACCGCAACAACCTGGCCCGAGTCTCCACTTCCACTCCCTTCTAACCACTTCGCGCACCCTACTTGAACAACAGCATCATTCACCAGTGCGACACAGCAAAAACAACTCCTCGGCCGCAATGAGACCACGATCGAATTACTGTCGGTCATGAAGTCACTCGATGTCGTGGCAATTTCATAACGACAGTGAAGTGCCCCGAAGTCACAAATGGTAGCCTCTCACGAGTTACGTTCGCATAAAAAACGTGCAAATGAAGGACCCTAAATCCTCCACCTTGTATACATAGGTGTGGGGACGGTTACACCGCCGTTCACCGCTCAGAGAACGCGTCCAAACCGACCGCTGGTTGGTTCCCGCTCCGGAGCGCCTGCTCGTCAGTCGAGCGCGCCCCAATAGCGAGACTACAGATTAAATACCGTGTGGTAGCTCGTAGTGCGGCTGGCTGGGGAGCTTCAGCCACCTCAGGGAGACTGGCCATGAGACCTGCTCAACTGGCTGGTCAAAGTTTTTGCCAAAGCTCAACTCTTGCAGCGAAACTGGCCACACGACTCCGGCGATAGGCTGGTTGAAGTCCCGCCCAAACTCTAGCTTTCGCAGCAACGCAGGCCACTTTGTACCAGTGATCGGCTGGTTGAAGTCCCGTTTGAATATCAGCGTTCGCAGTGACGCAGGCCAACAGACCCTGTCCACAGGCTGTTTGAGAGGCAAACCGGGGGGATGTTGTAGTATCAAGTCAATCATGATATTTATTACTTCTCACAGGATGTCGCGAGACATTAGGCTTCATTTTACTGTACACCAA